ATCGATTCTTTTCTGTGGATTTCCTATTTTTTCAGCTCATCATTGTCGGTCGTGTAAGTTATTCTAATAGTAAGATGCAATTTTAAGCTACATTTTGCATGCATATCAATTCCTGTGCAATTTCTTGTCTAGCTGAAAACATCCCGAAGCACTGTAATCCACTATATTTATGGCGTTTCTGCCAACCTGTACAGGTGATGCTCTGAACGATTCATGTCTCTGAATGTACTGATAGGTGGCACCATCTTTGTTCAATGTGAAGTCATGTTTGTCCGAGAACAACATCAGTTTGCCGATTTCAGTGACCATTATTGGTAAGTCGTACAGGAATCTATCCCAGTGCACATATTGGCTCATCATATCGATCATCTGTAGCGCCGACGTGTTCTGTGCTTCTAACTTTTGTAGTTCGCGGCTTTTTTCTATGTTCGACTGAAAATGATTGGAATGAGAAATCCTTTTTGATGGCGATTTGCTGTTGTTTCTTAAGAATGCACCATGTGATTGTTCAGAGACTGAGTGCTGTTGATCTCAGGATTTCTTTGTTACCAATGATATTTTCAGTTGTTCACTTCCTTATTTTTGATAATGTAACGTTGACTGGAAAAGAATGTCATGTGAAGGAAGCAGATTCAAGCGATGAATTCTGCAAAATTTGTTCCTACTTTCACCTTCTGGGAAGTATTCCCGGGAGTATCGCTGGCTTAAAAGCTTTGGATTCTTATGCAAGAACGTTTAAGAGAAGGTATCAAATTCTTATAATTCACAGTGTCTCATCGCTATGCTCCATTCCAGTCGTTTTTTTTTTCAACGAACGTACAAAGCGTCTGAGTTATCAGTATTGAAAGCGAACATCTGCTTCGTTGAGATGTAACAAAATTTACCATATTGGCGAACTGTTCTTTGATATCGTTAGAGCAAAGCGCAGTATTTTCTAAATCGTCCCCAACCAATTGTATTTCGCCTGCATCTCCGAAACCGCACGCGACAAGAGTGCATGACGCGACTGCAATGTACAGTATCGCGTTCATCTGTAACAAATAAGCATGTTGAAGGCGATTTTGTCGATTGAAGAAGCCACTCGAAACAGTATGGATTAGGTGACTATGCTATGGTTGGTTTAACTTTTAAAAACTTTGTAGAAATATGGCTGAGAAACTCATTCGTTCCTATTCCGAACCGATCTGAAAGTCTTGTACGATCGCGTGTTGAAAGCATGTGGAGGGTGGGATAATATGGAGAAACGAGTTCCAACAAATGAATTTTAGTGCAATGAATGAATAGGAGACCCGTTCAATCTCGGAGGATCGGCGCAAGGGATGCAGTTATCAGCCCATGATCCCTTTGAACATTTTTAGCTAAAAGATGGCCTTCCAAGTTGAGACTGTTTTATATCTCCAAGAGGTACGCGGTGGTAATCATACAGACCAATTTCTTCGGTGCAGTTCATCATTGCAATGAACTTAATTTCGTAGCCATTTGAAGTGGGAGGGTATGAAACAGGGCCATGTTGCTTCGAAGTAAGAGGACGATTGTGAGGAACTGCACTGGAATGTTTAGTTGAGCATTCAACCCAAACGCTGGTTTATATAAGCGTAATGGTGCTCATAATCATACATTGATCCGTGCTTTACGACTAATGTTCGAGATGATCGCTTTGGTGTTGACAGTTACTAAATGGAAATGACAGTTAGTTATTAAATGGCAATGAAATTAAATGGAACACACGTTTGAGCAAGAGAAAATGTCGGTTACTGTAGGTTTATTAGCGCCTTATAAAGACATACATAAAGAGACACAATGTAAATGACAAGATGTTTTCAACAGAGAAAACATCTTGTCATTTACAGTGTGTAAGGTATATAAAGGAATTTTGGTGGAGGTCTGGTGAATGAACGTTCAGCAGTTGAGGACAATATCTCAATCTGAAGATTATCACTACTCTCAAAAGATGCTAGTTCAATGCTCAACATAAAATCAGGCTATGATGGAACTTGCATTTGTGGACGACAAAACTTTCGTGATCATTTCGAGCAGTTTCGAAAGTATTACGGTGTAATTGACAGAATGT